AAACAATAAAGAATTAAAAAATTATAATTAAATCTAAAAAATAAAAATATTTAAAAGTAAAATAATTTTACCTTTTTTGTTTGAGCGTGTGAAAGAAATGATGACTGCCTCTTTCTCCCTTCCTTGGAATCCATCAACAGTGTGTACTTCAACTTTACCAGTTGATATACCATTAGCCTCTAGTCTCTCTCTTATCATGCCAACCTTTAAATAAAAATTAAAAAATTAGAATTATTTTTATTTTTAAAATTTCATCTCTTTTCCTAACTTGAAGATGATATGGAGCTATTATTGCAATGTCCCCTTCTCTCACACCAGCTCCTATTAACTCCTTCACATGAGCCAGTACTATCTCAGCCTCCCCTTCGTTCCCTTTGGACTCTTCAGAGGGCGTGTCTAACTCGTACAAGCCACAACTGGCAGTATCAATAAAGAGAAGAGGAATAGTCGTAGCTGTGGTGATGGTAACGGTTGGAAGATCTCTGCATAATATAGGCATAATGATATTATAAAATAATTATAAAGAATTTTGTTATACTTTAATAAATGATGTGAGACACTTTCGTGTGCCGTGAGGCTATCCTCATACAAATACTGCGAGGGCCACTTCATAATATTGTGATTCATCCTATACAAAATTAAGAAAGAATCATAAGTAAACAATGAATTATAGGGACATCAATACGCAGCAAAAATGTAATAAAAAATTGGGGTAATTTCAGAGCCATTTTTGGAAAAACCATGGGCTATAGCCTTGGATATTTTTCAGAATTTTGGTGATTTCTTAAAATGGCCGTAACTTGAAAAATTTAAGTCAGAATCACCTCAAACTTTCTACACAGCATAAGTACATCAATATGTATCAGAAAATGTAATAAAATTTGGCATAATTTTGAAGCCATTTTTTGAAAAAACCATGCATGGACTATAGCCTTGGGTATTTTTCAAATTTTTGACGTTTTCTTAAAATGGCCGTAAGTTGAAAAATTAAAGTTGGAATCTGCTCAAACTTTCTACACAGCATAAGTACATCAATATATATCAGAAAATGTAATAAAAATTTGGGGTGATTTCGGAGCCATTTTTTGGAAAAAACCATGGACTATAGGGTATTTTTCAAAATTTTGATGTTTTCTTAAAATGGCGGTAATTTGAAAAATTGAAGTCGGAATCAGCTCAAACTTTCTACACAGCATAAGTACATCAATATGTATCAAAAAATGTAATAAAAATTTGGGGTGATTTCGGAGCCATTTTTTGGAAAAAAACCATGAACTATAGTCTTGGGTATTTTTCAAAATTTTGGTGATTTCTTAAAATGGCAGTAACTTTAAAAATTGAAGTTGGAATCAGCTCAAACTTTCTACACAGCATAAGTACATCAATATGTATCAAAAAATGTAATAAAAATTTGGGGTGATTTCGGAGCCATTTTTTGAAAAAAAACCATGGGCTATAGCCTTGGGTATTTTTCAGAATTTTGACGTTTTCTTAAAATGTCCGTAACTTGAAAAATTGAAGTTGAAATCAGCTCAAACTTCTACACAGCATAAGTACATCAATATGTATCAGAAAATGTAATAATGCCCATAACTCAAAAAAATTTAAAAATATTTGAAAAAAAATTGGAAAAATCTTCAGAATTGCCTAAAACTTTCTACATAGCATAAGGACATTGATGTGCATCAGAAAATGTAATAGAAATTAGGGGTGATTTCAGAAGCAATAAATTAATTTTAGAAAAAAAAGCAAAGGCTATAATACAGAGCAAAATTACAATACATAAAAATCTACAATTTTGATTGGAATCAGCTCAAATTTAATACTTTTTTGCTGGACTCACATTGCTCAACATGTAAGTAGGGTACATGGACATTATTCATTATAAGTACATAATAATCATTATAAGCACAATTAATGCAAGTACACCTGCCCACAGGTGCTGTTTACCCTCAAATTAATAATATGTACGAAACTGACATCCACGCCCTAATTAAGTCCAGCAAACAATCAATTAAAAGGTTAGTCACTTGTCTAGAGAGCAATTACAGAGCAGCATACACAACACAACATGCCTCATTCAATGAATACAGTACATTCATGAAGTGTCTCTATAGCATTCAATGGAATACTACCTGTATTGTGTTGTCAGGAGTGTTGTTACTTGATCTCTGTAGACTGATACTAATCTCTCCATTAGTGTTACAGCTAGACCATCACGAGCAGCTCTAACAAAAACCAGGGCTAAAAGGAGCAAACACTTTCATAAGAAATAATCTACTTGTCAGAGAGAATGGTGGGTGGGAGCTGTTTATGGTCACCAGCAAGAATGCACTTAGGAGCTCTTGATAATGGTATCCAACAGCTAGCTTCTAATGACTAGAAGAGAGGGAAAGGAGAGAGAAAGGAGGAGAGAGAAAATAGACAAACAAGTTAAATCAAACTTCTCTTACTTGTGCACATTCATCAATGACAACCACATCAAAATGATCAATAGGTAAGTGCCTGGAGGGTTATCAAATAAAGAATCACCATGAGTGTTGCTTCTTATCATGATAATCTCTTTGTCTCTCTCTGTCTCTCTCTTACTTCAAAGGGCCGGTGGGCGTTGCTCCAGTATTTGTGGCCAGTATGACATTAGCTCCGCTCAAGATCTGTTGAACCAGTTTCTGCGTTACATAATTAATTGTAATGATTCATGATTATAGTGATGTCATTAGTCATTACTTCTTCTCTCTCTATCAGCTCCTTCTTCAAAGTTTTAGCTTCAGTATGCCATTTACGCCTCTCAGACGATGACTTAGCATTCCCGGCTTTACTCTAAAAAGAGCAGCAAAAGTTGAGCCCCATAAGATGATAATTACGTGACTCACCCAAGCAGAGCTCATTTCTTTCCTTACATCAAGAACAATGTCAGATCCATCAGTAGATGCTAGGATACTATCAAGTGAATACTGGAGTACTGATTGAACTAGTCTTGCCGGGTGACCGAGCCTAATAATCTTTAACTTTGGAGAAGATGCTGCTAATCTTTCGACAAGATTATCAACTGCAATGTTAGAGGGTGCAACAGCCAATACCTAATAGAATAATAAATAATGAGGGCAGGAGGATTTCTTACTTTATTATTTAGTGTAAGAGTTTCCTGGAGTATGTACTCAATGACTGTAGTTGTCTTACCAGTTCCAGGGGGTCCGTGAATAATGGCAACATCGGGTCTGGACAATGCAAAAAAGACTGCTCTCTTTTGGCTGCTGTCCAGCGACTGATTGAAGAATTTGAAATCGCTCGAGTCAAATTGAGTTTGTAATTGATCCAGCTGATAGGTCCATTTGGAATGAGAGGGGCCAGGAGGTGTGGCTTGAAAGAGTACGTCTACCAAATGAGAGGAAAGGATGGGGTCCATTGACTTGAGATCATTAAGAGCTCTAAAGACAAACAAGAGCAATTAAATGAAAACAATGAAAGGATGCCATTACTACACTTTAAGCATATACTATTACAAGAAGATTTTATTTCATTATAACATAAGAACGTGTTATGTTTCTGACTGTTACAATAGCCATTTTTGATGAGATATATGCCATGTAGTGCAAAAGCAACTTTAAAAGTTTATAAAGAATCCAATGTTGATTGGAATCAGCTCAAACTTTCTACATAACATAAGTACATGTACATGTATCAGGAAAAATCATGAAATCGAAAATTCTTTCCTTTTCATTTTTGACAAAATTTGGCCCGAGACCATGTACTATAGTACAGGAACTTTGGCTCAATTTTGAAGCAACTTCAGAAAATTCATAAAAAATTCAATTTTGATTGGAATCAGCTCAAACTTTTATACAGCGTAAGTACATATAAATGCATTAGAAAAAATAATAAAAATAAAGAATTCTCTTTTTTCAGTTTTGGTGAAATTTGGCCCGAGACCATGTACTATATAGTACAGGGACTTTGGCCCAATTTTTTAGAAACTTTTAAAAATCGCAAAAAACACAAATACATACAACATACCTCTTCATTCTTTTATAAGTTATGTCATTTGCGAGTTTTACTACTTGCAGACAGTCACCAAGACCACCCAGGGATACTTCTTCAGGTAGTTCCTCAAAAGCCACGCCCAAATGAACATCCGAGGACTTCACAACTACACCAGATACAAGTTGCCCTGGCAACAGACTCTGGCCCTTGCTAAAGATACCCACAATGTCACCTGAATGAGGCGATTACATATGCTACCATAGGAAAAAGTATTACCGCATGTTATAGAATGAGTAGGGAGTTTATGTCTCCCTAAACGATGAGAGAAGGTGACAATATGGCGGCCAAACAAACCAATTCTCTCAGACTCAATCCCAAGCTTTGAGAGACAGACTCCTTTAGTCTCCAACTCTTTGATATTTTTCAAATCAGTGGAAAGAAGAGAGAGTCCCTGGGCCACTTCTTCTTGTCGTTCTTGCTCAATCAGTTCTAAATGTTTCTCTACAAAGTCCTCCATGATGAGAAGAGACACACCTCCATGAAGCCACGCCTGTAACCCCGCCCTCTTGCATAATCAAGAAAATGGCTACTGGTGGAGAGAACAAAGATGGTGATATTCCCTTAGCTGTAGTCGGTGGTGGGCTCGTTGGCTCACTACAGGCTCTGTATCTAGCTCGTAGAGGCTATAAGGTTCTCCTTTTCGAGTCCAGAGATGACATAAGGAAGTCAGACTCGTGGGTTGGTAGGAGCATTAACTTGGCCCTTAGTTTTAGAGGGAGAGAGGCCCTGAGAGCCGTTGGCTGTGAAGAAGAGGCACTCTCTTTCGCCATTCCAATGTATGGCAGAATGATACACTCGCTCAATGGAAAGATGTCCTCGCAGGCTTACAGTGCAGAAGGGAAAGCCATTTACTCAATCGATCGGCTAAAATTAAACCAACTTTTGCTTAATTCCGCCGAAGCTCACCCCAACATTACGCTTTGCTTTGAACACAAACTCCTCCGTGCTGACCTCGGGAAGCAGTCCCTTACTTTTAAAAACCCCGAGGGTGAGAAAGAAGTATCGGTCGGTTTCACCTTTGGATGTGACGGTGCCTTTTCAACAGTGAGACGTCAACTGATGAGATGGGATAGACTCAACTACAGTCAGGAGTACATCCAACACGGCTACAAAGAGCTTCACATGCCTCCTGATTCTCAAGGAGAGTATGCCATGCCTCCTAACTACCTCCATATATGGCCACGTCAGGAATTCATGATGATAGCACTACCTAATCCTGATCAAACCTTCACCCTCACTCTCTTTATGCCGTTCAAAGTATTTGATAGCATAGAAACCGAGGAAGACCTTTTGTCGTTCTTCATGAAACACTTTCCTGACTCTATAGAGAAGATAGGAGGCGATAGGCTAGTGGAGGATTACTTTAAGAACCCGACTGGGTCCCTGGTGTCCATAAAATGCTATCCGTACTATCTTAATTGCTCCACTGTTCTGTTAGGAGATGCCGCTCACGCTGTAGTCCCATTTTACGGACAAGGCATGAACGCTGGTATGGAGGACTGTCTTGTTTTTGACGAGTGTCTTGAAAATGTGACGAAAAGTGGAGGAGGACTAGAAAATCTTGGATCTGCAGCTAAATCCTATTCTGAGATGAGGTGGAGAGATGGTCATGCAATAGCAGAGCTCTCGATGTATAATTACATTGAAATGAGGTCCCATGTTAACAGTCGCCTCTACCTCATAAGAAAGAGCATTGATGATATTCTCTTCTTTCTATTTCGAAGGTCTTTCATTCCACTTTATAGTATGGTTGCGTTTACTAGGATACCTTATCACGAGGTGATTAAGAGAAGCAACAGGCAGAAGGTCTTAGTTAACAGGTTCATGTATGTTTCTGGTGTTATTCTGATTGGAGGCATTGGAGGTTTTCTTGCTCTTCGGATATTAATAAGTCATCTGTCTCTTTCATCCTATATTTATTTGTTCAGAAAATTATCCTAATAATTTTTTGTGTAATAGTAATGATATTTTTCTCTCAGAAAAACAATAATAACTATGAGTGGGTGTTAATAATCCATGGGGCTGTCTTATTAAAATTAATAGATAGGCGTGTTGTAGATATGGATGTTAGGGTAAGGACACTAAAAAGAGTTCTTGGAGAGCTTATTCATAAGTTTAAGCCTGAACTGTATCGCGAAGAAGCAAAGCTAAGACACAGGAGAAGTTAGCAACCTAATTCATACACACACACACATAGCATGAAGAATAATTATTAATTTAGCAATTATAATATTTGTCATATTTCTAATAATTATTTTGTAGTCAGTCATGATCCAAGCAGCAGTAGTTACTGGTCTGCAACTTTCCACGAGTTATATGTAAGCTCAGACAAGTCTGGTGACTCTTCAAGAGACGACCTTCTATTCTACATACAATACGATAGCAAAATGGTTTGTACTCTTTAAATTTACATGAACATTCAACACTTGTTTTTTGAACCTTAGAAAAAAGAAGACGTCTTGGTTGTACGTTTCGACACAAAAGCCATACCAGAGTAATCATCACATTTTAAAAAGATGAATGATGACATATTTTTATGTTTAGAGGTGACAACCCTAATGTATTCTGGGACGAAACGCTCTACATTAATCTATTGCTACATGAGGTTAGTTGGTGAGGAATGAGCTACAGTAATAAGAGGGGTAAGGTTTGTGAACATCAAATCGAATAACGAGGGCAAAGAGAATTGTAGACGCATTATGTCATAATTGAGTATATCTGAGATTTTATCTTTATTATTTTATTGTTGTTGTCATTGTTTTATTATTGTTGTTATTCTGCTTTTTAGTTTACCTATTGCTTGACTTGCTGTACGTTAGCAGCTGACTCTAGTTCTGTCCCTCTCTCAGCAAGAGTCATACAAAGGGTTGAACTGGTATGGGATAATTTGATTTTAATGTACATCTATAATTCTTACTGTAGGATGTATATCCAACTCATTTAAGTAGAAGGTAACTGATAGAGAGAAGGAGGGTGGGTGAATATTATTGATTCATTTATTTGTACCCAGGATGGACACAAAGGAAGAAGAAACAGCTACGTGTTATCCAAACTTAAACTTCATTATAGATAGCTTCCAAGAGGTGAGGAATTAAAAATCATATTTGCTCAACTTAGGATTGTTTATCAATCATTGGTGGTTGTTATGATTAACAGTTGCTAATTTTCATGTTTTAAGCTTGTGTTTAGTCAGCTATGCTTTTATAATCATTCATTATGGGCTTTTTGTAGCTTTTTGGTCATCTTACGTTGTCTTCTCCCGGAGAAAAAATAGCAGTCCAGATAACAGCTACTAATCCTGTTAGTTTTATTAACATCACCAGACAATATGATTACCAATTCTTTCATGTCTGCAGTATTTGGCAGGGAGAAGACCTATTTTTGTCGGTGGGCTAGACTACAAAGTCCTGAGGGCATCTTGCGATCAAAAAGAGGAAGAAAGGAAAGAGAGCGGGTCCCTTTTCCAGACTCTCTTTCGTCGGAAAAGCCTCAAGAATGTGGACAGGTTTCATTTCATTCCTATGGAGGGTCCAAACGGGAAGGGTCACGCTGAAATGGCAATATGTTCCATAGACTCTGAGAGTGTTACAAGTGATGACATACCCACACCATTGGAGCCCAGTCTACCAGTAGACACCAATCAACCATTGGGTACAAGTACACCAGTAGACACCAGTCAGCCATTGGAGCCCAGCACACCTTTATCGCCAACCAGTCCTATTTTTAGTGTTCATACATCGAATGAGAATCTCATTGGATCTGGTAAGTGTTTATCGAATATAAATTTTCAATGTATTATCTAATATACATGTGTGTTATACTTGTACTTGTAAATTACTGCTTATTTTTGTTATGTTTCCTTGTGATGGTGGTCACTCCCAGTCCCACTTAATTACTATTTGTATATGTATGGGTTGCATGATAGAGGACTGACCTTGTGCCTTGTAACTTGATATTTACACTGCTCGCCTTTAATGGTCTGATTGTACGTGTGTTGTAGATCCAAAGACAAAACAATCATCTACAAAGAAGAAGGGAAAGTGAGTTTTGGACTAATACTTGCCCTCTCACAACAAAGATAAATATGATTATGATAATAATACCTTGTATAGGAGGTATCAGCCAAAAGAGGGCCAAGCTCCCATTCACACTTATCTGACATTTGTACAGCTACCATGGTATTCAGTGATTGAAGGTATAATTAATTCTCATTCATTTGATAATGTAATTGTCATTGTTATTATTGTGCAATAGATATACTAAAATCTGATAAAGAGCCTGTATTGTGACAGTGGTATAGCCTGAAGCACTTTCTCGACGTTACTATTTTTATTTCTTTAAAATTGATATTTTTATGTCAAGTGGTATTATTTAATTATTGTGATTAATTATAATTACATGCTAGTAAAATTATTCGCATATCTTCATAGAGCAACATGTCTCTCCCCCCCTCCACTTATTAAATGATGGAGAGAGAGTATGTTAGTTTAATCTTTTAATAGTTTTGATAATTGTACTGTACTCTTAGACTTATTGTTAGCCACAATACAAGCCCACTAACCATCAGACATAATAGAATAATATACTCACTATAACTTCATACATTTGAATGTAGGATCATTGCTATTGCTTGATGCATGTGAATGAAGAATAGAGATTAGAGAAAGAAAGAAGTAATAAGCTTCCTCTTTAATGCTCTGTGAGGTCTCAGCTATAGCGATTGCTGATATGTGAAATTTTATAAACAACATATTCTCACGCTCCCAATCGCATTAGTTGCCATGGCGCTGTTATGATTAGCTCGCCAGTTAGTATGTTTTCAGGCAATCATGCTTATGGATATGTGGAGGATAAACAGAAGCTAGACTTGTCTCACACACCTGCCGTTTGATTCTGTCGGGGCCTACTTTGAAGTTTGGGCGTATGCCTCAATCATTTATTCTCGAATCGTATGTGACACGTTATTTACTTTCAAAGGGCCCTTGGCAGTGACAACATGTGGACAGCAATTATGATTATTTAAAATACCCATTGCTATTTTTGTGCAATTGTGAATATATAATTTTAGCAGAATGAGATGCTGCTTTCAGTTGCAAAACAGATAATAATTAGTATTAATCGTGCAGCTGGTCATTGGTGGGAAGCAGCGGTGTGCTGTGTACAATATGCACATGTGCCTCTGTACATCTATAATGTTCCTTATATTATGTGCTTTGTGATCCAGTTAGGTCTGCCTCCAAAAACCCACACACTCTTTGAGGAGGACGTACAGATACCACTTCATTTTCTAAGAAATTTTGTAATAGTTAGTATTATTATTATGAAGTCACAGTGAGCAATGTCATCATGATGATCACACTGGTCCTTCTGGTGTTGTGTTTTCGTATGATTGTTATTGCTTTCCTGCCTCCTTAAAATTCAATATTGAGCAATTATGATTAGGTTGACATATTTGTGGAGTTTGTGTACACACAGACAATATTATTTAATATGTGCAGTATGGCTTTGTGGTTGGATATCACAGTACTGTGTAGTATTGACCCTTCCGCTATTATATAGATCTAGCTAGGCGCCTGAGAGTCGCCGATCTCTTATAAGAGAAGGAGAGCGTTAATCAGATGTCTATGAATCTCTTTAACTCTGGGGAGTGTGTTGTCTCAACTTTCGCGCTGTTCCTGTCATCTTTGTAAACTCATTTTTAAGGAGTGGATGAGAAGGAGACCCATTCCGTCCAGCTCACAGGGCTCTGGTAAGAAAAAGCAGAGAGGGAGAACCCAGGCTTTAGTATTCAATAATATTACATCGAGATGAATTCGCTTGTGAGAATTATGTACTTTCTACTAGCACAGACCTTTGCTTCACTGCTGGTATCTCTCCTATCTTCTACCATCTTCACTCACGCTCTACCCCTCTCTGGCTGTAACTCCACAGATGAATTTTATAACATGACAAGCGGTTCGTGTAGAACCTGTACAAACTGCTCCTCGCTGGGATTAGCCACATTGAGCGAGTGTGGGTCTGATAATGATACAATATGCTCCTGTCCAGAAGGACATTATTTCAACTATACTATAAGGTCCTGTACACGCTGCACAGACTGTTTCATTGACAGACCACGGTACCAGACCATAAAACAGTGCACAGCTACCTCAGACGCTGTGTGCCAACCCTGTCAAACAGGCTATTATTATGTGTTGAGCTACCAGCGATGCCAATTGAACTGTTTAGCATGCCCCACTGGTAAATGTGAGACTGAAAGCAGTGAACAGTGTCAATGTCCACAATGTCTAGTGGGTCCATTGTGTACAGTACAAGACACGATAACACCAGCCTGTCAACCTGATACACCCACCACTGCTCCACCTAACACAGTACTAACCCCTGCTTACGACGACCAGTCCTTCTCCACTGTCAGCAGTGCACTGATTGCTGTCGGGGCCGTCATGTGCATTGTTATTTTTTCAGCTTGCTTCGTGTTTCTGGGTGTCGCCACGTCTTGTCGAAAATCAGATAGCAACTCGGAAACCTCGTCCAGTAGTGATGGACTCTCGGCAAGCAATCGAATAGCGATCGTTGGTAGATCGAGAAATGCCGTCGTGTCGCCATCTCTTGCATCCCTGTATGCTAACAACAGACATTCACCGTCTCCGTTGCAGGAGTATAGAACGTCAGTGGATCTATTAAAGTTTTCAAACAGTAGCCTATACACCACAGGGAGCAGTAACGGCAGTTGGAGCACCATAAAAGGAAGTCCAAAGGCCAGTAGATCGAATTCTGCTCCACTAGTATGACAAGTTGACAGCTATGTTTGAGTCCACCGTTTGTCTTCCTGTCTCCCTCTCTCTTTGTATCATATTATAAAGCTATTCTTTCAGAGTTATATACTTATGTCAAATCATACCCAACATCTTGTTCACAGATACTTCTTTCTATCATACTCCTCTCTCTCCTCCTTCCCTCCCTATCTCTCTCTAACATATATAAAGATATATCTGTCTATCTCTCTCTCTCTTTCCCTATTGTAAAGATTATAACAAAGTCAAAATCTATCATTCTATTTTTGATTGTTTTTGTTGTAAAAAATACATTTGACCCCTGACTCTTAAAATTCATTAAATTTTATGCCTCAACTAATGAGACCACAAATTATCATACCCAGTATGTAACACAATACAGCTACTAGCGTGATAAGTAGATAGGGAAAGGGAGTAGAGTAAACTTGATGACCTATACTGCAGACCAGGCTATTTTTGACAATACAGAAGTATGATCTCAATTTGACTTAAAGGAAATATGCATGTCATTTGTGTCTGTTCCATTATACGCTGGGCCTTAGAGTCAAAATTAAGTGTGAACTGTGCTCAATGTCTCAATGGAGAACAAGGACAAAACATGCATGTCTAGGCTGCCCTCTCATGTGATTAAAAAATGATTTTTAAGAATATAAATAAATAAATATTAATAAGGATCATGTGAGTGCCAAAAGAGAAAAATAAAAAAGAGAGAGAGAGAAGAGATTAAAGTCACTTCTTGCTCTGCTTCAAGAAATCGATCAGACCTATTGAAATAGAAGAAGTAGACCTTATTCAAGCTCATATACATGTAGATGGGGGTTGCTACAGATACTGGACAGTAACAGCTGGAACTAAGGAAATCAAAAGAAGCCATGCAGGCTTTGCCCTAGTAAGGCAATACTGTCCAATATAAATCATCAATTAGATTATGGACAGACATATAACCACGAATTCTTACATGATAATAATAATTGTTTAATAGAAAAAGAGGGTAACAATTATGATTATTAGAACAAGCATTAATTTGCAGCTGGTTTGATAAAACAAGAAAAACAAAGTCGCCTTTCAAAATCTAAGCTGTCACAACAACACCCCTAGATACTAATTAGTCTGATTTTAATTCATTTTTAAAGGAGCTAATAAGGAAGGTCTAGACTTGACTTTTCATCATTAACAATGTGCTAGCTGTTTACCTTGTTAGCACCAGAATCACCTCTGGCAGGGCTTTTGCATCCACCCTCCAAACACCACCACCACACAATACAAGTGGCCACAAGCACTAAAAGGCTTGAAACATTAAATACATAAAGCACCTGGTGGTTGAGGATCATTGTGCAGGCAGAAATCCCATTAAGCAACCACTAATTAATTATAATTCAAACCAGCAACAATAAACAAATTTGTACCAGAATAGTACGTGAGAGTGGAAGGGCCCAGAGGTGCTAGTTAGCAAATTAAATGCAAAAATGTATAAGAGCTAGGGGCAAAGGACAATTCCCATAGGCATATATACAACATGAGAGAGACACACCCATCATAAATTAATATTGAAATAATTACAACCCACAGTGCAGGATAAAAGGAGGATAAAGGTATTATATAATATATTATAATACATACAGGCAGCCTTGCAGCTGCTACAATATAAGGCTATGCAGCATACACAGGAAGATAACCAGTAAAATTCAATTTCCCACACTCTAGCACATTCTGTAGTACATACATGTACACACACACCCATAAATTAGTAAAATAGATATAGACTAATCGACATGAGTTCATGAGAAGTGGTGGCCTAATTGTTAATTGACAAAGCAGTCAAGGGCAATAGTTTGCAATAAGAGGGTTAGGTTTGTTTGGAAACATGCTCATATTTTACTTCAATTAAGGAATACAAATATTAATAAAGCATTGGAGGTGACATAAAATCATTATTAAGAGATGACAATACTCTCTTTGTCTCTTACTTAACTCTTCTCTCTCTCTCTCTCCCCCCACCCTCTCTCTCTCTCAGTTACTATACAGTCAAACATTACCTGAGGGTTCATATCGCACTGTTAACACTATGTCCCCATGACTTGGTATTTCCTATATTAAAGAAAGGAAGTGAGGTCAAATCGAAAGTCTGTAATTACATTCTTAGCCTAAGAATGCAATTACGGAATCTTAATTAAACTTAGGCAAAGAGAGAGAGAGAGCAAGTGAGAGCAAGTCATAAGAAGAGTAATGAGTAAAGGCTGCCATTATATAAGTTTTTGAAACACGTTTTTAACTTCAAACGATCATCGGATGCTAATGAGGAGTATGACCTCAAAATCACAACCCAATTAACTCATTATGCCCACTGGAGCAGAACCATAACAGACACAAGCATGCTACTAATAATCAAAATAGAATTGAATTTCAATTGCAGCCACACTTGTGGCAACGCTGTGTTGTCCTTGTTGTTCCTAGGCAGTAAGCCGCAGTAGTAAGAGAGAAATTGATTTACTTAATGGTAGCTGGGGCTTCACAAACACTTAATAATAACAATGATAATAATAATGATAACAACAAAACAATAACAATAACAATAACAATAATAATAATAATAATAATAATAACGATAATAGGATAATCATGATACAGCTAGTCATATGCATGAGTGTATCTAAAAAAGGAGTTTGAAGGCCCTAGGACTATTAGTGTGTGAAGTAGCAGTATGGATTGATTACTGTCAAAATGTACTGTACATCTCATATCAGAAATATTTTCAATCATTAGTAACTTAGCACAGTTTGTATAGCTATGCCAGTAAACATAAGCCCTTGTGTGCTTCAATGCAAGAGAAAAACAAAACACGAATTTCATACCAGGAGCAGGTAATAGTAGTAAGACTGGCTTCGAGACACTTTCCCATATCAGATTAAGGAAATATGCCAAAATGAGTAATTATGCTTGTGTGTGATTAATTTAGTAGAGAACAAAGGCAGATCATTTTCAATTGTAATAGTAGCAACATACCTGCAGTACATGTTGTGCTTCAAAGCTTGCCATGTTACCTGAGAAGAAAGAGAGTGTATGCGATATTGCAAGGTGTGAAATGAATGAAGATCCATTCGTGAGTAAACAAGCTCGCAAAATATGCAATGTGTAAAATGGCTAGCATCTGATATGCTGTACAAAAGCTTCAAGCTGAAATTTGACTTTATAAAGTTGCTATAAAATTTAGCCAAAGACCCTGTACTATGGTACAGGGTAATTCACCAAAAATGGCTAAGAGAGAATTCCCCATTTTTTTCTGATACATAATTACATATACATGTTCTTATGTTATACATAAATTTTGGGCTGAGTTAGATTAAATTTGAATTTCTTATAAATTTTAAAATTTTCCTTATTTCTTAATTCAACTCAAACTTTCTGCACAGCATAAAGGCACCAATAGATATACATGTACTCCTTACCACAACTCATTCCGTTTATAGAGAGAAGTCGATCCCCAACTCTTAAAAGGCCACACCTCTGAGCCACTCCCCCAATGGGCAAGTCACTAATGAATAGACCAGTCCTACTGAGCCCTTGGACTTGAATCCCGAGAGAACTTGTTTCCAATTCAGTCCCTTTTCTTTGTAGGGTAACCGAACGAGGCTGATACTGAGTCTTTACTACCAGAACCTAAAATATACATGTATAATAATAATAATAATAATAATAATAATAATAATAATAATATAATAATAATAATGATAATTAATTTACTACGGAGCTCCTCATTATAATTGTTTTTTTCAGCATGACTAAGAAAACAGTATACATAGCAGGCACTATGGGTCATGTTCATTGGCAACGGCCTAATTGGTGGTCTGGCAGGGAGTCTATTGTCAATAATGCATTATTACTTCATTTCTGTGTGGGCATGACATTCTGTGTGGGTATGACTGGTGGTATGAGGTCTAATCCCGTATTGAGACTGGATGTACATATGTATTTACATTTTTGGCAAACAGTCAATATATGAACACAAACACACACCCCACGACTAAATCATTAAAAATCAATAAAATATAAATTAGAATATAATACACATACTTCTTGTAACTCTTCAGAGTGAGTGAGTAATGGAGTATCAGGTAGGGGACTGAGAGGAGGAGGGAGGGGGACGTCTAATGGACTCAAAGGTGGAGCTATAGTGTATGTCATCATATACAATAAAATGAATTATCTATATATACATGTAGTCATGTACTAACAGGATGATCCATTACAAGTAGTGTTGTCTGGTGACACACCCACAATGTCGTCTGAGTTTGAAACCCTGCCCATAGGATTTGATTCTAATTGAAGAGCATCTATGTTGGGTAAGGAGTCAGGCTCGGTTACATCGGATATCTAAAGATAAAATAAAATTTGTGTCCGATCGAGAGATTAGAAATTAACTTGGTGGTGTTTTTCTCTCAGTTGGACTAGGTGTTGAAACAGAGGGCTGGAAAGGGTTGAGACAACTGATTCCAGGGGTCTGAGAACTTCAGAATCAACACCAGAACTCTCCGAATGAATCAATAGCTCTTTTATAACCTTCAAAACCCGTCCAAGACCTAAAAATAAATAAAACTAAAGAGATATGAGATATTCTTTTACTTTCTTCAGTTATCGCCATTTTGAGAAGGCGTGGTCACACTTTCCCGCCAAATTTGGCGGGGCTGGGTTTAAGGCGTGGCTAAAATTAAAAGTGGGCGTACCTCACTCCACATAACCTCTCTCTCTCTCTCTCTCTCCTTCATTCCCTCTTCTCTCTCTCTCTTCAACATGAGTAGAGAGAAGCCTGGCTGTCTCTTAATCTGCAGTGCTCATCAAAAAGGCAAGCACTAATAAAAAATACAAAAATAACAATTCATTTTTTAATTTATGATAAAACCAATCAATAGGTGTGACTGCTCAGTCCTTCATCCATTCCTTTACTCTGACATCATCAGCTTTTAATGTATTTCTTACCACACCTGGAGTGAGTACTATGCACTAATTGTATTCTGGTTAAATCATTTTTTAATATCCTCTTGATTTTCCTCCTTTTGACGTGCACCTCAGAACACCTGGAGTGGAGTACTCTACTCCCTCTCACTATCTCATAACACGTGACACATATGTACATGTATCACATATGTCATTATCATATATCCCAGTGTGCATGGAAGGATATTTCATCATTGACTAGACATTGTTACCTAATGTCCTTTCTCTCTCCCCATAGGGTGCACCTGTTGAGTTTGTAAACATTGATGACTCCAATAGACAGTGGATAACTGACTTTAGGTCCAAGGGATTATCTAATCCACACAAACTTGAAGAAATCGATAGTGAGGAAGAGAGAGAGAGAGAGTGGAGGGAAAGATACTAATCATTTTTTTTATTTAAGGCTCAAAGTTCATGACATTAGTGATACCAGATTCTCCAGGTGCTTTATTTGATTTGAGTAACAATGCAGAGCTGGCAGGCATCATTAACTCTTTTACCAGAGATAAAAGTAATAACAATATGTCCCTTTACCAGTACCTCTTCTACTTCCCTCCTCCCAACTATAGAACCAATGTGTGCCATAGGATATGGAGTAGCTGCCCTATTCTCCACTTTGGACATACACTCACAAAAATGGTACTTTGACAAGCATTCACTAACAGCTGTAAGTATATGATATGTGGCATTATAAGGGGGATGACCCTTTTAATCATGATAGCCCTCTCATGCTGAGATTCTTAAAAGAGAAGATTTTCCATCACTACCCATAGTACCACCTGATTTCATAAGAAAGCATGGCGGGACATACAGCGGTGAGTTTCAAGTTATTACTAAGTTGTTATTCATTTATCTATAGCTTCACCAGATCCGTCATCCCTCTATGTGGTGGTGGACAATTTCCTTGTTACTGGACAAAACGAGCAGTCAACATTGACAGGTGTTCAAAACCTCATATTACTCTCAAATGCAAGGTAATTTATTATTTATTCATTATTAATTATTGCCATACATGTACTTGTATTTTTATTCACTTTAGGCTGGCACGTACAAGATAAATGGCATAATGACATTTCTGCAGATATTATCATTGTTATTATTATTATTATTATGATTATTATTATTGCTAATATTGTTTTTGTATAAATTAATTTTTTACTTGATCACAAATTCATTTGATTGGGCAGTAGTCAGTAGCTTTCTCCATGAAAATTATCAAAATTTATCAAGAATTGTGTAACACAATTCAATTACGCAAAGCAACAGAAACAACTCTAAATTTAAGACAGTCATCCTTTAAATACTGAACTTGTCTGATGGGGTCATGATGAAGCTCCGATTTCGCTATGAAAAGTGACTTACCCCAACCTTGACCAGCTCGGTCAACTTGTGTAACTCTAAAATCAGAGAAAAAGGAATAGAAGGAGAGAGGGGGAGCAGAAGAAAAGAAGTGATAAAAGTTGCACCCTTGTGTGGTTATACAAATAATTCAATTAAAACATTAGCATGTTACATGAGCTAACCTCCTGCAGTACTGCTCTGGCGTACGATCGTTAAAATCGGTCATTTGTTCATGGTGACATTCGTCCTTTAACTGATTGAGGAGCTGTATCGTTATAGCTCCCCTAAAAGGCCACATCAGCATGTCGTCATGCTCACCTTTCATGAGATACGAGTGGACGGACACGTGAGTTCCTTCCCCATTACCAAGGCCTTGAGGTGCTATCCTCACACACATCTTGTATCCGTTTGGGTGTGTGTAAAATGGAGAGCAGAACCATAGCTCTGGGTTTGAGCAGCGTCGTGCGTAATTATCGAATACAAAGTCGTACGGGACGAGTCTTTTCCCTCCCGTAGGAAATGATTCTTCAACTGGAGTAGTAAATTGATTGTTAAGCGTAACTAGACGGGGGAGATCGTCCTGTGCCATTGCAAGCATTTGTTGTTTAAGTATTGCAATGTCTACTGTACAGGACTTTAAGTCAAGTTTCAGTTGAGCTATGATCTGTTCATTGGTCATATTTGCCCTCTTTAATTGGGTCACTGTTGCCTTCAAGGATTCATTTTCGGCTTCTAGGGCTTGTACCCTTCGTGCTATTTCCAGCGGATTAGACGATGGACGCTTCGGGCATGTAACATCTTCATGATTCTGCAATGAGAGTCTTTGAATCATCTCACCACAGTCATTGATGCATTTAAGTAGAACGTAAGGGCACTCTCCCTCTCTCTTATCAGCTTGCATGTGACCGGATAAATCCTTTAATTCTCCAGTCCAGGGGCATCCTCTTGACTTATGCATACAATAGACCTTGAGGCCATTGATGGTACGCTTCAGACCTTTATTCAGGACAGCTTTCAAGTGCTGGTCCTTACATAGTGGGCAGGGTTTTCTCTTCACTGCGTTTAGACAGGAAAGACAAAAGTGATGTCCGCAGCATTGGGTGAGATGAGGCTCGTTGAGTACATCCAAACATATAGAGCAGTATATCTCTAGCTCTGGAGGGACAGGATTCACAAACTCAATACTTTCTACATATTCTGATTCAGTACCACCCTCACCTGACGACATTTTTACTTAGGCCACGCCTTTTGCAATACGCCCACATTGAGCATGATAAGCGCTGCAAGTGCAAACAAAAAATAAAAATAATAATGGCTAGTGCCTCGTGGAATGATGCTCAGCAGACTGATGGTGCCCCATATGGTGGTTATAGTTGCAATTTTGTTCATGGCGATCCTCCAGATGAGTACCTATGTCACATCTGTACACTGGTAGCACGGGATCCTCAACAAGTTACCTGCTGCTCCAATATATACTGTGAGAGCTGTCTGGATACACTAAAAGAGAAGGGCCAACTTGGCCAAGGGTTTATCTGCCCAACTTGTCGTAGCTCACTAGAAGGAAAGTACTTTAAAGATGGAAGAGTAGAAAGAGGAATAAAGTCACTTGAGGTTTATTGCACTAACGCTGATAGTGGGTGCCAATGGATGGGGACTATTAAGAATATGAACACTCATCTTAATAATAGCTGTACCTGTCAGCTGGTACTTTGCACAAATGGATGTGGAGAGAAGATTAGGAGAAGTGCACTGAAGACACATCTAACTGACAACTGTACTAAACGTACGATTAACTGTCAGTATTGCAACCGAAAAGGTCGACACCAGCTCATAACAAGCAGGAGTCATTTTGATGTGTGTCCTGATCTCCCAATCCAATGCAGTAACGAAGGTTGCGATGAGAAGATATTGAGACGTTCACTAGCATCACACAATGAGACCTGCCCTAAAGCTATCATACCATGTGAATACAATACCGTTGGATGTGAAAAGAGAATGAAGAGAGAAGAACAAGAGAAGCACAATGAAGAATCAATGAAACAGCATCTTGATGCAGCAATGAAGAAGATTGAGGTACAACTTCCAACCAATCAAGTCATTAAGCTAAATCGATTTACAGAAAAGAAAGAAGAAGAAGAAGATTGGTATAGCCCAGGCTTCTACACTTCTCCTGGAGGATATAAGATGTCATTAAATGTCATCACTAATGGTAATGGCAAAGGTAAAGGCACGCATATCTCTTGCTTCATATGTCTCATGGCAGGAGCATATGATGATACATTGGAGTGGCCATTTCAAGGAGAAATTACTATAGAACTACTGAATCAACTGGAGGATAAGAATCATAAGAAGATTACTATACAATACAATGAATCAACAGATGACAAATACAAGCAAAGATTAAGGGAAGGCAGAAGCATTGCAAGTGGACGAGGATATACACAATTCACATCACATGAGCAGTTAAAGTATAATCCAGTCACTAATTGTCAGTATCTTAAAGATGATAGTCTGTACTTCAGAATCAATGTCAAGGCCACATCAAAGACAAAATTATGGCTAGTAGGGTCCATCTAATGCTGAAGGATATATGGACACAATGTAATGCTGTAGGATCTGATTGAACATGCACACATCATGAACTCATATTGAGTTCAGTCATTATCACTTATCAATGTTCACTTTTATTCAGTCAAAATTTTCATTTAATCATTCAATTAATTTAATTAAGTGTTTGGTTCCTTAGATGGTGCCTAACTGTGTCCAGCAATGATCCTAGGCTCAATGGACACTACATTGATTTGTGATTATTTTTCTTGAATTGTTTATTAGGAACCGGAAAGGCCAGTAGGCCACGCCATTTACCTTTTCACCACGCCCATAAAGCATGAGCAAGCATGGCTTCATTGGCTTGTAGTTCTTCTTATGACAGTTGTCAATATGGTGGTTATAGCTTTAAGTTTGTTGATGATGATCCTCCCAATGAGTATCTATGCCACATCTGTACACTGGTAGCACGGGATCCTCAACAAGTTAGCTGCTGCTCCAATATATACTGTAAGAGCTGTCTGGATACACTAAAAGAGAAGGGCCAAAGGTTTATCTGCCCAACTTGTCGTAGCTCACTAAAAAGGAAGTACATGTACTTTAAAGATGGAAGAGTAGAACGGGGAATAAAGTCACTTAAGGTTTATTGTACCAACACGGATAGTGGGTGCCAATGGACAGGGACTATTAAGGATATCGACACTCATCTAAATAGTTGTACCTATCATGAACTGGTACCTTGTACCAATGGATGTGGAGAGATGATTAGGAGAAGTAAACTGGAGACACATCTGACAGACAACTGTCCTAAGCGAATTGTTAACTGTCAGTATTGCAAGCGAAGAGCCACACACCAACTGATAACAAGCTGCAGTCATCTTGATGAGTGTCCTGACCTCCCAATCCAATGCAGTAATGAAGGTTGCGATGAGAAGATACCACGACGTTCACTAGCATCACACGAGGAGACCTGCCCTAAAGCTATTGTACCATGTGAATACAATACTGTTGGATGTCATAAGGTAATGAGGAGAGAAGAACAAGAGAAGCACAATGAAGAAGCAATAAAACAACATCTGAAGGCAGCAGTGAAGAAGATCGAGGTACTACTTCCAACCAACCAACTCTTTAAGCTAAATGAATACACAGAACTGAAAGAAGAAGAAGAGGATTGGTATAGTCCAAACTTCCACACGTCACCAGGAGGATATAAGATGTCATTAAATGTTGTTGCTAATGGAGATGGTGATGGTGAAGGCACACACGTCTCTTGCTTCATAAATCTTGAGGCAGGAGAATATGATGATTTGTTGGAGTGGCCATTTCAAGGAGAAGTTACTATAGAACTGCTGAATCAACTGGAGGATAAGAATCATAAGAAGGATATTGTTACATATAATGAATCAACAGATGACGAATACAAACATAGAGTGAGTGGTGGTAGAAGCACAGCTGGGTTGGGTTTTATGCAGTTCATATCACATGAAGAGTTAGAGCATAATCCAGCTACTAATTGTCAGTATCTTAAAGATGATAGTCTGTACTTCAGAGTCAGTGTAAAGGTTACAAGTACATCAAAGACAAAGCCATGGCTAGTGAGATCAGCCATATAATAGACATGCTTTATTGTGTTAACACATTAGTCTTTACATTATGTTGTACATATGTACTTCACATTAACAAGAACAACAATAAATTAATAATAATAATAATTAAGAAATCCATAGTTTGGGTTATTTAGTAAAAGCAAATGTTTGTGGTACACTAGTCACTGTAAAAGTATATCCACCTTCACTCTCTCTCCTTCTTGACTCTACACAAATAAATCATTAACTGACAGAATCCACTCTTGACAATAACAATGCAAGAAATTTTGGTGGCTTTTTAGTATTGGCAATTCTATAATAATTACATTTGTAATGCAACAGGTGTTTTTATATTAGTGCTTTTTGCAGCCATTTGTCATTAAGGAAGCTCTGAATAACTTGAAACAAAATGGCAGAGTTTATTGTTGGTGATACCAGCATAAAAATTAATTCAAAACTTGGCCAAATTTTTTAGGTATACAGTCATGGGAAGCAATGGATTGTGTGCTAAGTGGTTAACCTTGTGCAGCTCTACGTTGGTCGGCAGTGAGAAACAAGCTTTGTAGTTTGAGGGTCATTTCTTCATTAACGGAACTAGCAACAAGTGCAAACCAGTCAGGATCTGATGTCTGGACAGCTAAAAACAATAATAAATGTATATATCAGTCGAAATAAATGAAACTTAACTTATAAACATAAAGATATGCTGTGCATTAGACTACCAAAATATAAATTCAATATGTACCTTGGAATGTCTCTTTAAAGGTAGTGTACTCGTCAACATTGTCTTCATCGTCAATACAAGTTTGATAATCGATTTCTAGCATTGTCTGTGCAAGTCCTAGCTCATCATCATCTTCCTCTTCTTCTTCACCTAACTATAATTGAATGAGAGGGAGAGAAGGGGAAGCAAAGGCAATAATAAGTGGAAAGTCGTCCTACGTGTACATATACATGTACATGTATAATTATAAAGGTTGAAAAAATAATGAATGATTATTATTCAAATATGACAGCAATTAGAATACATGTGTTGTAGCTAGCTACGTGTACATGTATTTAAAAGCTTGTGTACAAATAAAATTAATTGATCTTCAAATGCTATGACTAGTTTCAGCTCTATTATTCAAAAGTTCTTAAATCAGGGTTTCTCGGGCCCAATTTTTGAGTAACTTAAAAATTTTTGAAAATAAAATTTTGATCGGAATCAGCTCAAACTTGCTACAAAACATAAGAACATGTATATGTATCAGAAAAAAATTATAAAAAAGGACTATGCTCTCCTAGTCATTTTTGGAAAAATTTGGCCGAGGATCCTGTACTATAGTACAGGGACTTTGGGCCGATTTTTGAGTAACTTTAAAAATTCATAAAAAATCTAACTTTGATCGGAATCAGCTCAAACTTGCTACAAAACATAAAAACATGTATGTATACCAGAAAAAAATTATAAAAATGGGCAATACTCTCCTAGTCATTTTTGGAAAAATTTGGCCGAGGACCCTGTACTATTAGTAACGCGGTAGCGTTACTAAGTAGGATTCACCCCCAAACAAAATGGCTGCCACGACTTTTGCAGCCTTGCTATACCTAGTACAGGGACTTTGGGCTGATTTTTGAGTAACTTTTAAAATTTATAAAAAAATCCAATTTTGATTGGAACCAGCTCAAACTTGCTACACAACATAAGAACATGTATATGCATCAGAAAACATTATAAAAATAAAGAATTCTCTCCTAGTCATTTTTCGCAAAGATTGACCTAGGACATAGTACAGGGACTGTGGCCCAATTTTTGAGTAACTTTAAAAAATTTGTAAAAAATCAAATTTTGATCAGAATCAGCTATACAACATCAAAACATGTATATGTACCCAAAAATTATAAAAATGAATAATTCCCTTCTTGCCATTTTTGACAAAACTTATAAATAAAATACTATGGATCAGGGTTTTCTACAAAGCTCTACTGAGCAAGCTAAACAGCACACCTCATGAGCTGGCAAAAAGCTGAGCACTATATATATACTCAAATCTTGTGGGGAGCTCTGTCTTAAATATTAGTGAGCCCTTACTTTACTGGCAGCTGCTCCTATTTTCTGTACTAGAGGATTTCTTTGCTTTTTGTCATCTTCTTCATCGTCAAGTTCTTCATCTAAAGTAAACCAACACAGTGGTTAAAGTACTGCAAGTAATAATCAGGTATTTTATACCTTCATCTTCTTCTTCCTCAATGGTACCATCTTGAACTCCTTCATCTTCCTCATCTTCAGCTTCTCCTTCTGCCTCTTCTATTGGACAGAAAGTAAAAACAGTAAATGAGATGACGACACAATAGTTGGACGCAAAACAGCTCTAGAAATCAAAAAATTCTTATTTTCAATACTACTATAGTACTAATACATTTGCTAATGTAGCACTACTACATTAGTAAGAGTAGGTGTACATAACATGGAGTATAATATTATTATGAACTTAAATCATGAACTCTTAATGTTCAATGCATTACTATTATGCATTACTATTACGCTATGTCTGAAAACTACTCCAGCAGAGTGATAATTGTACAAATAGTATCATCATTATAATGTATTATGCATCTTACTCTTATAAGCAGCCAACAGCAGCTCCAACTGGTGTAGTATCATTGGTAGTATGTGTCCTGCATTGTTTTGTAATGCACTTGGTCTCAATGGACACTGCAATACAGTACATAGTCCCAGCACTGAGAGCTTGCGATCATGAATGCTACAACAAAAAAGTGATAAATAGCATGCAATCATTATTTAAACAGTAGTAGTAAAATAATAATTATATTAATGATTAAAATAACACAATCACATGACCTAAAAAATGGCTACTGGTAGTGGATGTACATATGGTGGTTATAGCTATGATTTTGTTAATGG